TCAGTGTATGCAAGCAATCCACACCAAACTCTATCTCATTCGTGGTACTGAAATGTGGTACATATACGAATCTGTGTAGTTTAAATTWAACGGAGTTTAAAAGAGCTTAAGCTACTACCTTAGTCGGCTAATTGTTTTTATTTAATCATTTACAACTAGTAACCATGTTTTAATTTATACATAGTAAAATATGAAGTGATGAAACAGGAAAATCTAACACATGTAGATATAACATTTTTTTTTTTTTTATTCTGAAAATGAAAAATCTTAAACCTAATTTAAATTTCTTTTGAAAAATTCAAAAAAACCAACTTTTAAATCAGGATTATAAAAAACTTTTGATTAACACATTCATTTAAGTCGTATTCCTAGTTAAATTTTACAATTTTTTGAAATCTCGTTATCTTTGTTTAGTAAAAGTGATTCAGTCGTAAAAAGCATTTTGGATTTATAAGAATTTTTAAATGGGTATACTTGTTAAAAACTAAATATTTTACTTTATACTGATTATTTATTTTTTTACCAGTTTTCTCCTGTCTTTTTTTTTAATATACCATATTGCATATACCTATTTAAATTGTATAAGATCATAATATTAAGTAATCTCCTGCAATTTTCATCATTYGCGTTTCAGTATTGAGTCATTAGTTAATAATGGTGATTATAGGTATCTATGACCTTTTCGTTCAGTCATGTGCACAATAACAGCAGTTTTAACCACAATTCAGTCATTACGATCCGGCTGGAATTGTTTTCCTTAACGAACTTGTACGTGCAAGGAACACATTTCGTTAGCATCTCTTGGCCTAAATTTAAAAACGTAAACAGCGCGCATTAATCCCATTTGGTAAAACAATAACAAAGTTTTGCTATAGAAAGAGAGAAAAAAGTATATGTACGTCGTTAATTAAATACTTCTCGTCGTAAGATACAGAACACTGCTTTTTAAAATCGTGAATGGGGTCGGATCTCGGAATATGGAAAGGATTTCGTGGATTATTTTAATTTCTGCGAAATTTTTTTTTTTTTTTCATTATTATTCCCCGTGTAATTAGACAAGTTTTTATGTTACCTTCGAATGCATTTCTGCGTACAGCGTTTTATTCTTCGTATTATTACAAAACGAAGATGTTAAAATTTATTGGTAATACCTCATTGTTTTTTTTTTATATATATAAACATTTTTTTCAATCACTCAAACGTGAAAAAATGAAAACTGTATTTCAGTTACGTAACAATAGTAAAATCTTTATATTTTATTGTTCGTAAATTATGACAAAATATGAACTAAATAAAATATTGATCGAAAAAATAAAAGAAAGCTGCAGTCACTTGGTTTGCATGTCAATAAAAATTGTCTTACTTAAATTTGATGAATATACCTTYTCAAAAAAACGTTATTTTTGTTGAATACCAAAAGAATGATTCTAGAAATAATTCAAACGTCAGTAAAATAGTTTTCAACGTAAGCATAAGTATATATYTTTAATATTTAACGTCAAAAAATAAAGACCATTTGAATACTATATTTTTGTTTTTATAACTTGAATGTGCAAAGAAAATAACACTGGGATTAATAACAAAAACTGAGTGTAATTGTGTGAACTTAATACGTAAATACGAACCCATWAACAGACCGACTAATTTATTAGCTTATCTGTTACGAAACGTTAGAAAATTATTCAATTATTATGTTAAGGGTTTTATAGTATAAGTATAATTCCACATTAAAAGTCTCAAATAAATATGCACACAAATATTACCACTATGTGTGATAAAAAAAAAGAACATCTTTGAGTTAACCACTAAAGCAAGTAAGATCAATTCGTATTGCGTGACTTCAAAAATTGTACAGTACAAACATACTTGAGGCTTCTCTACTGACGGGATACAAATATAGTACTTACAAAACAATATACATACCACCAACATAACGAACAATTATGTTTTATTTTTTTTTTTATTCGAATCGAATTCTTAATTTATTACAAAATCAAAACCAAATAACATTTTCAATTATTTGCATTAACCTGCGGAGGTGTATATTATAGGTGATATAGGTGTAGGTATTTACAATTCTTTGTCATTATTCATTATACACCCACGGCAATACTTATGCGATTTCTACCATAAATTGTGGTACATCATAATTAATTAAAACTGTAATACGATATTTACCGCAATGTTTTCCGCCGTTACGCAATGCAAAGTCTATATATACTGTTATTTTTATTAAATTATTATTGTGTAGCCAGCGCAATCATCAGTACGTAACGCCAAAACTCGAAAGATAATAATAATCTAACGSAAGTCGTGTCATATATGTATAGTATATGTATAATGACTATAATGTTTATATATATATATATATCAGTGTGTGTGTGTATGTTTCCGCGGGTGCGTATAGAACCATCATGTTATATATACCATCTCCAAGATTACGGGCTTTATAAATCAGACTGGATAAAAGGGTACTGCTGAAACTCTATTACATATACGTTGCTCTGCGTTGATACGGTCGACTGTGTGTCAGCCTTTCCATTCATTTTTGAGGCGTTAAATATATTATCTTCTATATACCTACTATACATGTACACATAGAATCTGAAAAGGTGAACTGACTGACGGACATTCGGTAACTGATGTCTGCAGTGAAGAATATAGGATAGTAATAGACTATAAGTATATCTACGTTATAATTAAACTATGTCTTTCGTATTCTAAGTTTCGATAATAATCGGAAAATTCGGAAAATTCGCTAAAAATATAAAAGAATTAAAAACTAATTACAGTTTTGTGAAAAAAAAAACCTTCTCAACAACCAACAGCTTTTTTTATACAACATTTTTAGTCCCTGTAATAAATCAACTTGACTCCTCCGTTTTAATTTGTGTGTCAACAAAAATTTCGTAGTAAGGGTGACTCGTTTTAATAAACACAGTAAAATCCTTTACTCTGCGCAGAGCCTTTGCCATGATGGGGGACTAATGTAGCTTTTYCTCACTGATACACACGTGCCTACACACTATGCACACACAGACACACCCTTTCACCTCCAGTGTTCTATTTGATATGCCAGGTCATGAACAACGCAAAAATAAAATATTATCGGCAGTTTGACAAAAATATGCTTAATACAATACTGGCAACTAGAGATAAAATATCATTCGTTTGAGGTATATATTTTCATAAATGGGAAATTACACACCAAACGAATGTTTAAATTAAATAATTTCAAAAATAAAAATAAATTCCACTGATCGACAAATTATAATTTAATATAAAAATAATTYCCAAGAGAGTTCATAGATTTAATATTCCCGGTAACATTGGAAACACATTTAAGTGAGATTTARAAAACCATAAATAAATGTTCCGAGTAAAAACTGGCATAAAACTCCGCTGACACCTGGTGTTCGATTTAAGCTYTCTCTCTCTCTCTTTTTTTTTTTTAAATAATTGACGTACGTTTATTGTTCGTGATGGTGTCACTATTGACTGACGAAGCTATCTAATAAATTGATGTAATATCGTTTGCAAAAATGTATCACCTCTCTAATACACCGTATTGGTTGATAAAAGTTCACTGAATCTATACATTTTTATCAATTCGAAGAAAATAATTCAATGTTAACGACCGAAGACTTGTGAAATATTTATAAAAACTACAAATCACTTATTCTTTGTCCAATTTCATTCAATCTCGTCAGTTGTCCAATAATKCGATTATGTACGTAGGTATTCTATTCTGTGGTACTGTTTAAATAAGTGACTGAAAAATAAAATAAGACCATTTATTATATTTAAATAAAATATACCAAAACAGTAGCCTAGCTACTATGCCTAGGCTAGTTGCATTAATCTGTCATACGAATTTTACTAATGCTATAAATACTATGCTCCGATTAATACAGACAAATATTTTAAACCTAACCTAACCTAAACTAACCTAACCTAAATTATGTGCAAAATTGTATTTATAAAATCCAGCTTAACAAAAATCGTTTTTGTGTAAACTTGAGTTTTCAATTGATATATATATTAACTGCCTACCTTATTATACACCTATATAAATATTTTTTTTTCAAACAGGTGTTGAGTCTATTAAGCGTAATAAAGTTCTACAATATGGTGCGATTGGGAGTTACGTGGAAAGGTCCAGAAACCATTGAACTGTGATGTAAAATTTCGGGACCAGGGCGTTATCCCGGTTCCATATCTTCGGCAGAAGACACTGATACGACTCTATCCTCGAGCATGGACGATTTCTTATAATGAACACTGATAAATATTATGTAAATGTTGTTGTATATTTGTTTTGGTTGAAAATAATTTTTGAAAAAACCAGTAATGATAAATAAAAAAATACTTTTTATTTTTAGGTTGTGTTCAACATTTAATTTTATAATATGTAACAATTTATTATAATTACAGAAACCTACAATATCAGCAAAAATTATCGTATAATACAAAATTATAGCTTTTGCATACTTTCAAAACAGACTAAGATAAAATTGCCTCTCATGTCATAATTTGTTAAGCAAATTTTTTTAAATAATACACATATATAAGATAAATAAATCTGCGAAATACGTTATGGTTGAGTAAATATTATAATTTTTTATTTGAATTCCATCTCAATTAAACTAATTAATTCACGCTTACCAATATTGATATATTTATACATTATTTATTAATAAAATAGATAAATACATTTTTTTTAAATAAATAAATTTAATGTAAAAGACTTTTAAGATAGAAGTTTAATGTACTTGTAATACTTGATACAATATATTAGAATGTACACAATAAAGTGTACGTTTACGATAAATAACGACCCCATGGGGAGAACATTTTTTGGAATGCTCACAAATATTTCTCTAAATTTATATTATGGTATTTTTTTCTATTTCTGGCATTTCCTCAACTTCTTTTATCCTCTACGACCAACCTATCATTTTGCCTTTCGGTTTTTTTTTTTTTATTATTATATGCTCGAACATTGCTCCCATCATTAAATATCTTAGATCAAATTTTTTTTTTGGCTGGTCTAATACCAACACGGTCTCTTAACATAATATTTTTAGAGTTGAAGGATGTCATTACAATCCATTGTTGGAATATTTCCTCGGCATTCTATATATATATATTTTTTTTTTTAATTTTATACACAACTGAACTTTAAGTTAAAACTTTTCACTAATCCGAATACGTACAAGAAAAACATCACGGACCATAATAAAAATAATAATATAGAGTTTGAAACGTACAAATATTCAGTATTCCTTTATTTATCGATAATCGGTAGTATAAAACAAACGATTTCAAAGAAATATGTTTACACGAGCCGCGTAAATAGAGCGCAACGCACAACAATCAATTTATCATCATCGTTCACTGTCACGAAATTAATCCTTAAAGAGAAAATAAAACACCATTAAATTGGCAATTTTCATCAATAAAATTCCCATTTTGACCGGATGGCAAACGAGAACAAAAGAAGAAATTGGTTAAGTGTAAAGAACGATAACAAGTCCCCCGAAAGATCTATTACGGGCGCCGATGATTAATGGCGTTATTATTTTCTAAATAATTATAATGATCACACACGTCCACGTCGCAACGTCGTCTGCCCTTGTAGCTTGATTTCTTTATTGCGATTATTGAGTCTATATATTATTATTTTAGGACCACATAACATACCCGCTATAGTTGGTCATAAATCCTATATTTATTTATTTATATATTTCAACACCTAATGGCAATTAACAAAGGCGAATACATAAATATTGGTAAGTATTAGATGACAAATTAGTGTACATAAAAAACATTATAAGTATAAAGCTAAAGTACTGATAGAACATAAAAAATAAAAATATAAATAATGTACATATTATTATAATTAAGTAAAAACAAAACGTTGTGTCTAAGATTTATTCTACTCTTTACTTTTAACTAAAATTCCAAAAGTGTTGAGTCTGAGTCTATTTTAATCATATTTCTTTGGGTAGGATCATTACATAGATAATTTGTTCTACGAGTTCTGATTTCAAATATTTGTTTACTACGGGACCCATTTCTAGGTATATTAAATTTAACCCTTCCGAGTAGATGGCTAGTATCGGTCTTCCCTAAAACTAAATTATTTAAAAACCTTATATCTAGCATATTTCTTCTAATTTTAAGGTTAGATATGTTTAAAAATGTCGATATCGATATGTAGTCATGGGGTAGGTGAGTCATTTTTAAAATATATCCAGCGAACGCAAGAAATCGTTTTTGAACCTTTTCAATCCTTCGGATGTCTTTCTGAGTGTAGGGGGGCCATAAAACAGAGCTGTATTTCAAAATTGAMCGCACCATTGATGTATATAATGTTAATAGGCTATATGAACCTATATTTAACCTTGAGTGATACAAAAAGTTTCAGAGGTGAGGGAGCTGCTTTTACTTGTTCAAAATCAGATGTTAAAAACTATAACTATAATAAAACTATAATTACATAATTTAGGTATTACATTTCATAAAAACAAATTTAATATTATTGAAGCAATAATTGATTTCTTGTAATACGGACGTGGGTATAATACAAAATAAAAACACCAGAATTAAACACCTATACCGATATGCTGACTATACCCTAAAGCATTTTCGTATTGGTCAAGTGGTCAAGGCAAAAAAATCTGAACATTTTTGGAAACGCCAAAACCTCCTCCCCCCCCCCCTTAGCAGTGTCTATGGAGTTAATACAGGTGCATAGATATAGACGGGCAGTCGCATTATAAATTTATAACAATAATAATAATATGTTATTCGTATACATATACGTACAAATGGAATGAGTGCACCACACAAAAACGCAAATCCTACCCCATTCGCGGCGAATTTCGCGTTAGAGGATTTAACCTTCGGTTATTTTTTAATTAGGGTTTGGGTTTATCTCGCGTTGTGTGTGTATGTGTGTGTGTGGGTGGAATGAATCTTAGGAATACCACTAAGTATACGACGCACAATGCACCATTGTGTCGATTGGTTTTACTCGAAGGGTTTCACGCAACAATAGGACGTATCGCGATGATATAGGTAACATATATTAAACGCACATAACGGACGTCGTCCGGTCATAGAAAAAATATAGTATTATCTATTATATAATATTATTGTTTCACCGAATGGTATCAATGGCACCGCTGCCCCCGCCGACGAATTTCGAAATTATTCTGGATTGCATTTCCACTCGGACCGATGTCACGATATCCAAACCACGGCCACCCCGCGATAACGGATACCGAAAAAAATCGAAAACCTGACACCTATATTATAATACAGCCGCAGGTGTATACACCGATGATGATAATAATAATAATAATATAATAATAATTGTTTCAATATATCACGCGTCGACGCTCCGCACCACCGAAACGCACACCCCGTCATCGCCTACGTCATTCAATCGATCGTCGTATTATTTTTTTACCCACGCTCGTATATTACGAGTTACATAAAATATTATATTATTATCCACGTTCGAGAAAACGTACGTCATAATAATATATGATACGATATAGTGATATACGATAACGCGCACAAACGATTCGCCTCGGCTCGCGATAAAACGTTATTGTTTAAAAAACAAACGACACGATGGCAACGTAAAATTTTGGACATTATTGGAACTCTGTATGTATGTAGTAATTGAATACTGGCGCAAATATTAACCTACACAAGTCCAACAATACACCCCGTCAAAAACAAATTATTATAACTCGTCTCAGCCTATAATATTTCATTGAGTTTTTTTACTCGTCCTTCGCACTCAATGCTTATAGAAAAGTATCAGTTTGCCGAATGTATTAGCGTAAAGGTGATTTAATTGATATAAAATCCGATTTTATAATTTATAATAGTAAAATTGTTAAAAAAAAGTTGTGTTTTTGTAACTGCGGTGCCGACTGTCACCCTGTCACGTCAGGTTATGATAGTTAAATTTGTATGCTTCCAATATATTATTATGATTAAAATAAATTAGAATAAACGCTTAAACGCTATGCATTATATTATTCGACTTTCTAGAAAATATCGCTCTTGATTTAATCAGTTTATACGGGTGGAAAAACGGTACTTCAGGCCAGTGCCCCGAATAAAGCTACTGCACCTCATTCTTCACACTTTCTTCGGTTTGGATAAAAAAAAATACAATCTATATGACGGGTGTAATGAATCAAATTATAAAAGCGTATGCAAATTCGGAGTTTATACAGTAAATTTATACTGATGACTTTCATATTGATTATCTTTCTTGAACGTTTCTTAAATTCAATGCAGTTGAGTTAGCGCGTATATAATATTATAATATATAAACGACAGATATTTTGTTATCACACCTCAYTCCCTTTATCGTAAAAAAAATGTCTGTCCCGAGCTTCCGGCAAACGAGACACGATATCATAATATATTATAATCGTTCATCGTGGTCGGGCAAACAAAACGATACACATTTATCAAACTTTGACCTTTTTCTGTTATTGTTTAAGAAAAGAAAAACGCCTGGGTGATTTATATATTTATTCACAATAAATATTCAATTATCTTTAACGTTCGCCGTATACCTACTCGTAACCATTCAAATCCTTCGAATCCAAGTTTGGTATTTTTCTTAGCAATACTGTCAGTAAAGGGCGGATGTTCATGCTCSAAAAAACTTAGCTGTAAAAAATTTTAAAATATGCTTTTAAATATGCTTGATAAAACGTCATTATATGCTTAAAAAATATACAAAATATGCCCAAAAACATCATTATATTCCTAAAAAAAAATGTAAAAATATACTCAAAAACATCTAATTTACTATGGAATGGAATTTAATAATTGTTAAAATTGTCAAAAACTTTAAATCAAAATAAAATAAATGAATAATTTAAATAAAAATTGATGTGTTTGTATTCGTCTTCTTTTATTGTTGATTTAATCATAAAAATTAAATTATTATTATTATTATAATTATTTTTTTTTTTTTGTTAATGTAAAATATATTTCGTTATACTTACTTAAGTAATATGCATTACACTGGATAATTATTGTTTTTGAAATATTTTCAAAGTGCAGAGAACGTCGTCTATCAATCAAAAAATGTTTATATTTGGAAAAACTTCGCTCGACACCTACTGATGTGATAGGTGCGTATTTAAAACAAGTTAAATCATCAGCGTTAAGTGATAAGTTCTACCCTGATGGTGTTATTTYCGCTATTTAAAATTTTTTAAATTTTTTAAACTCARCAATTCCTTTATCCTTTTGATTGCTTTAAGACTCTGTTCTACATTTTTACTATATTAATTGCATCAAATAAATTCATATCCGATTTTTCAAGATTTTCAATTGCAGTAGCTAACAGCTTAAAATTGGATTTTATGTAATTTAATTTATAGTAATTGGCCCATTAGGTACTTCCAATCGATAACATTTATTAATAACRATACAATTTCTAAAATAGTTATTCAATGTTAACTCTCAAGTAAAACCTTAAGATACCGAAAAAAGGATCAAAATATGCAAATATATGCACYATAAATATTTTGCTTTCATTTTCTATACATCACAAAACAAATTTTTATTCTACTCTGCCACTTTAATTATCAAAGGAAAAAAATGCAAATGCATGAACATCCGGCCTTTAACTATCAGTTTAGTTTATTGTTACGAGTGTAATTTTTTAGTAGGTTATATACGTATCATGCATTCTTAGTAAATAAGTTTTAAAAATCACCTAKSTGATAGAAACAAAGGAGTAGCAGCTGCAAGAACACATCGTTTAACCATTCATAATTAGATAAACATATTTTCAAAAACAATTAATTAATATTCAATAATATTATATTAATTACTTTAAGGCTGAGATTTCAATTTACTTTGAATTTATCTCCATATTTCCGATKYTATTATTGTTTCATCATATGTTTCATGTATTTCAAATTAGAACAAAAAGTTTTAGTTTTGTATTTTTTTGACAATCTTCAATTGTTAGATTATTTTTTCAGAGCATTTTAGGGTTTTATGGTATTTAACACTAGGCCAATTTTTTTTAGATTTTTACTTAAAAAAATGACTATAGGAAATAGGAATACAAGGTTTTTGAATATTATTCATCGTAAATTTCGAATGGAACATTACGAAGTAAAAATTTGTGTAACGAGTGGCTGCGRATAATTAAATGAGAATAATTTTTTTCAGTTTAAAAATGCAGTACTGCAAAATTTTATAATATTTACTAAAATCRTTTTATTTTTTTTAGACTTGTGTTAATTAAATAAATGTAAATGCATTTTATTAATGCATTAATTTAATATTAAGAACATACAGGGGTTTTTTATGCCAGTATTTGGTTTTTATGCAATGAAAATCCGACACGTGTAACACATTAAATTGCATTTATACACCTATATATTTGGGGTGTGTAAAAAACTATAAGTACATTTTTATTTTAAGCCCTGCRATATATAAATATAGAGTTGTGAATATAATACTCCTCCGATAGGTTTTCGTGTTTTTCWTCCGAATTTAGCATCAAAAGCACACGTCATGATCCATCTAATCCGTCTTCCAATGCGTTGTACTTCTGACCAAAGTTTTCACATGCCTTATTATATATTTTATAGTAAATTACCTCCCCGTGGTATTCGTTGTCCAGGGAATTGTTTTACAGAATATACAATATGTATAAGATATATGTAGAATATAACATAACACATTATGAAACATCAGATTCTGTATTACAAAGAAATAAATACTACGAGGTTGTTTCAGATAAACATTAGCATTTACTTCRCGTAAACTATGTGTTTGATTTAAAAATGTATAGATTAATTCGTTTTTGTTCCGTGTTTGCCGTTTTGATAATATTATAGAAGATAAACTCCCAATGAGTAAATTAAAAAAGAAAACAAAATTTAGCTTACKRAAATTACAAAATAGTATTTGCTATTTTCCTTGCTTTAAAATAATAATACTTACTTTTGCGAACACCTTTTTGCAGTTAATTTCTTAAGAGATTACTAGTATCCAAATAAATTAAATTTTAATATTGGTTGATAAATCATAGTACCCGTGCTGTCGTGCTGATACAAAACACATAAGCCATKTGACATAACTGTGAATACTAAAAATGTTATGATTAGTATTAATTTAAATTTAATTTTTGTAGAACTAATATTCGTTGACCATTTTTAAAATAGTAAATAAATTTTAAAATAACTTTCGTTAATATTTTAAACTTTCTAAAAGGGTCAAAAACTTTTAACCCTTGCCTTTAGATATACATTAAACATGCATTTATAGTATAATTACGTTGAATATTAAATTGTTGTAGCATATTTTGTTCTAAATAAACACCTGCAGGCGTGTACTTCGTTATTATTTTAACTAATTAAGGTTAATGGGTCGAAAGTGTCTAGTTTTTTATATTTAATTAAAAATGACAAATTATTTGAAAAAGTTTAAGTGTATCCCTTTTGTTAGTAAGTTAGTACAGAAAATAAAGCCCTATAAATTTAACAGTTAAAATTTAAATATATATTGAATATAACCTAATTCAGTTTTAAAATTATGAAATCTGTATTTCTAGCTCRGAAAAATKTTCATTGCCCAGGAATAGGGTCTCAGTTCGGTTATGAAAAAGAACACCACCCTATTGATTAAGAACGATAGAGTAGTAGTTCCTTTTTTTTTTGTCATAGCATAACATGCTTAAAACTTTATCACTCTATGAGTCTGTGACAACTGCTGTCAAGGTAAAACCTTTTTATTTTTCATTACAAATTATTATTTATTTAATTTAAAACAAAAATGCRAATATTAAATTATATTTTTTATGTTTAATTGTGAGTTCTGAAAAAACTCATGAGAAATATTCAACATAATACAGAAATGAAGATTAAAATACAATACTTAGAAAGAAAACTAACTAAAATTTACAAGATTCAGATACATTTTTTAATGTTTAATTACTGAATTAGATACTTAAAATAGAAGAAATAATTTTTTACCTATCATTAAAAAAATCTGCATTTTTAAATAAAATGATACTTTAAATTTAAACCTAATAATCTCTAAATGATTATCGAAGAAAGTGTTTCAATTTCAAGCTTAAAATTATTATAATACGTAGATAGTGATGTGATCCACCCCATTTTACCTCAGAGACTGGATGGACGCCATAAATAGTACTGATTTCTCGACATCAACTAATTGCATGGTGTTCTACATAATAATATATTATTTGAAATTTTATGGATATGAGGCATTATTGAGGCAACGATAAAWCCATCATGATTTTATAATTTGTTAAATCATATTTTTAAATGTAAATTAATGAAATAAATATAATTGTCAGAGAACCGAATTGAGTTACTAATTTTGAATTTGAATAGATACAATAAATTATAATTATTTAAAAAATTTGTTTCATCTAGTACGCTTACAAAAGGTTATTACTTATATATACTTATTAAAGGTGCRGATCCACGRATGACTGGAATAAAATTATAATAGTGAAATATGTTAATTTACTTAAATATTCTATTTATGGCGCTAGAATTTGTTTCATCCTTCACTCAAACACACAAAAACAAACWAACAAATCGAGATTAAAACGCAAAATCGTTATTACCTGTACCGTTCCAACATTTTCGTAGTATTGTTCTCTGTCCGGGTTGAGGGTGAATCTAATTAAGAGGGTCATAATGACAACCCTATGTTGGAGTAGCAGGTTTTGCAGCCGGCTCGAAGCCGASACAATCTCGGGATCAGGGGGAGAAAAAAAGCAAATATCTATTACAAAAATCACATTACATAAAAAATATAGTCTTTTTTTTAAACGCCGTTAGACTTTGCGAATCGGAATGAGTGTGTGGAAAAAAGAAAAAAATACATCGAATCATTTTCCGCCGGGCACAATTACTATTATATAATATAATATACACACGTACTTACCTATTATACTCTTGTTTCATTGCAATACATGAAAATCGATCGAATAACGCAGCAGTGGTTATTGTTGAAGTCAAGACGACACTCAAACCATACTGATGAGTTTAATTGATATAGAGGTATATATACCGAATCAGCGTTTTCTAAGCAACTACAGACCACCTACATCGATAAATTAAATTAGAATGCCCCATGCAAGGAATATAATATTTAAATATCATAAACGAACTATACAAAGACGTGCGTCATCTTTGTTACATGTGGTTAGGTTAGGTTATACGTGCCACCAACATTGTCGAGAAACATTGTTTGCGCCTAGCGAACAATAAACATAAGATGATGACAACATTTAACTATAATATAATATYGTAATAATATTTATTGCTGCGTTATACGAACAGAATTCAAACTTTCACAACAAGTGAGGAGTACAAAAAAAATATATTTACACCTTTTGTAATTTTAGTAATTTGATATAATAATAACATAATAATGTAATATAAATCATTAAACTTGTCGAAACCTGTGACCCCTCAAAATCTGCCATCACGTACAACGGGCTTGGGTTGAACGTAATGTGCAGGACTGGTGCTTACGTCCACGCGTGACCCCACTCAAATATACATATATATTAAAAATTTAAAATGGTTAATATATATTGTGCTGCACATCAAAACGTATAACGAAAAAATAAAACATTTTATGCCATTCATTTTTTACGCAAAATACCTAAATTTTTTACCCACATAGCTACCTATGCAAGAACAGCGCGAGCACAAAGAGGCAAGATGTAAAAATATTTGATTCTCCAATTTTTTGTGTTTGTAATGGATGGGTCGATTACCGAATACGGCAAGTGAGCGTATTATATCTTAAGACCTCAAGTCCTCAACACAAATATCACGAATCATGTCAAATATTATAATTAATATATATTATGTTGCCCGTGCATCACACCAAAGTGAGTAGTAGAGAACGAACTCTAAATTCGGTAACATACATTACGTAAATTAATTATATGATATTTGGTAAAAATATTTAAAACATATATAGTCAAATCAGGCATTTTTCTAAGAGCCTAAGCAAATATTCAAAGTTAGGTTAACTAAATTTAGTTAAATGCTTATTTCAAGTCACACAAATAATAATAAAAATGAAACATTTTGTTCAAAAAATGACGAATGTTCCAGCAAATGCCACCAAACAACAACATGGCGTGACAACAAGTAATGACTAAAAATTAAAAAAGATTTGTAATTAAAATATAACTTATTTATTCATTTCTTATGCTCGTACCGATGGGCACATAATCAAAAATGTTTTTATATACCTAGGTACTCATTTAAATAATCATAAATATTTAAAAAAAATTAAATAAAATAGCAACAAATAATTAATAGTAAATATACTTAGTTATATTAGGTATTTAAATAATATAAAATTTTTCATTTTTATTATTTGTMTTACTTTAAATAGGCATTTTGTGGCCAGTGGTTCTAAAACTTTTTCCACACTGATTTTTTTTTTGGACCAAATATTACCATGGTGTCCTGCTGTRAATGCCATGAAAGATAGAACAAAAAAATACTCATTAACAAAGAATTTTTGAAAAAAAATTCTATATATTTTAAATTATTCATTCTTCGACTATTTGCTTAAGCACTTAGTAAAATGCCTGATTTGGCTTTATGCCTACGATCTATACATAATATGATTTGCTTCAAATACTGAAACAGTTCTCGCCATTACTGCCCGAAACACCGTAGAACGTTTGGTTTTGTTTTGTTTTTTGTTTTGTGTTKTTATTATTACCGGGATAGTTGAATTGCACTTATTACCTATAAAGAAATAGTCATATTACACTTGGATTTWAAAAAAGATAGTGGTCGAACTGCACTCGTTTAAAAAAAGAGTTTAATCATAATTAATATTATAWTTGTATTTATTGATGTTTAACGTTTAATTTATATTATTTCAATACAGAACACTAACACAAAACAATCAACAACACGGTACCAGAAAAAAAAATAATATTGAACAATATTATTGACTTATATACTCTACTAAGTTTTTTACCAGGCTATAATTTTTGAATACAGTTAGTCATTACTACACAAAATGATCGGAGTAAAAAAAAATGACAATAATTAAATTTGACGATTTAAGAAAAAAATAAAAATGTATAATATAATAATTATAATATATATTTACATAATTAACATAATTTGATGTATAAAACAAWCATTTTTAACCATTTCGATGATTAAAATCATTGTCAGTCCTATATTGTCCTAAGATTGTAAAGCTGTAAGTGGAAAGGAAAATTAGTGTTCACTGAATGTTTAATCACTTCAAATGCACGATAATTTTATTGAAATACTTTTTTTGAGCCCAAGTGCAGTTCGATCACTACCTGCTTTTACCGGAATGCAGTTTGATCATTACTTTTTTGAATCCCAAGTGCAATCCGACCATATATACCCATTATTACAACTGTTATCCAACTACAGARTCCAATCGACCACTGGTAATTAGGGATAGACCGCCGTAGATTTCAATCGCACACARTTCGTATATTTGCTTTGGGTCGTATTAATTCAAGTTAATGGACTTGATGTACCGCAACGGACCGCTGTTACCGTGTGCGCGGATCGACGGCGTCAATTCGCGGGGCCACCGATGTCAATCAATAACATCCCCGACCATCCAGGGCGGTTGAAATATGTCAGGAAAAAAATCACCGGATAAATAAAATATATATACAAAGTAAACGTATCGACGGAACGATTGTCAATATCGATTAAACCAGAACGGCGACGTTTTCCGCAATAAATCTACTTTGGCGCCCGACCGCAGACCATCATCATCAACAACGGACGCAGTACAACAACAACAACAACAACAACAACAACAACTGTTTCACGCGTTAATCATTCAATATACTAAAATAATAACAATAATAATTAAATTAAATACTCACATCGTACCTGACGACATTCTATAAGGGGATAGTTTTTTTTTTTAACATTCGTATTCCGCCATATCAATTATTATTGTGGTTGCGACAAAACGGTTTTATGCGTTCAACCTTTTTAAGTGTATTTTCGAAATTATTTTTTTACTGCAATTTTTTCTCCTCGTGTATTGTAGTGCTGATTATTTGGGTTTTATACATGGTTTTTAAATATTTTYTTTCTCCATGGTCTGATAAGCAGAATCTTTCTGAACATTTTACGATTCATAAATATTGAATATATTGAAAAGCTTTATTATATTGTTTATAGCCTGATATAGGCATTTTAAGTACGGATCAGCCGAGTAGTAATGGAACTGAAATTCGTGCTGTATTATATAATACCCCACACACTCACTTCACTTATTTCGAAAACAAACTTTTAAAGCTTAAAAATACTATAAAATGGTTCGATAAAATGCGATTGGCTTACTCAAATTAAAAAAAAAATCAACCTGTGCAGCAATATTCTTGACAAAATTATTATTCTCCGTCCATCCAACTCATATCATACACAAAACGATCAAAACGGTCGAAAACGATTTCCCATGATTTATATATCCAGTGGCATTGCGAAGAGTTCAAAATAATATTATATTTACCGCGATAGTAATATACACATGTAGCGATATTATTTGAAAGCTTAAAATGTATATTTATTTTTTACATTTCATATACGCTAGCCGCTAGGGAATAAATGTGACCGCCCCCACTAGGTTTACGCCTAGGCTTTTACGAATTAAAATAGTATAACACTGTTTGACCGCATTAAAAAATACGGTTTTATACATATGTATGTGTATTATGTATATTATTAATCGTAACCATACAAAGTCCCGAAGGAACGTTCCGTTGTGACRTTGTACCCACATAGGTAGGTTGTAAGTAGCTAGGTACTACGGTCTAAAATGGACCGTAAAAAAAATGAACGATTTATAAAACAACAACAAAAATTGTGTTCGCGAGTCTAGCTGCGCATTATTACATATTCGACCGAACGAGATTGAAATTTTTATATATGCCTTTTACTTTTATTATTGCATGAAAATATATAATATATATACATAAATGTTATTAAATCATTCCCGACCCGCCTCTTTTGTCGCCACTGTATCAACAGAGAAACATTATAAACTATAAAACCGTTCGCGTTTAGAATAAGTTGACTGTTATATTTATTTTGTTACCCGCTCGAAAAAATATTATTTTATTATACTCGGATGTCGTTTAAGTACCCAGGTAGATGCGAACACAATATTACAATCTCTATGAATAAAAAATAATAAATAATATTGTCATCGACTGATGTCGATAGTATTAGATACATACGTCCGATAAAAACTTCGATACCGACTTCAAATAAAATGATCGYGCTGCAGTTGCGGAGCTCTAATATTCTAATTAATTTACTTCGGTGAATTTGAATTCTATATTTATGTACGGTACTCATTAAACATTTAATGTATTTCCAATCGCTCGTATACATAATGATTACAGCTTAAAAACTCGAAGAGATATCGCTTTAAAATCGAGTCTTGCAGCATTCCTCAAAGTTTAATAACCATGGAAATATATTATATTAATAACCATTATCACTATTATAGTCTGTATTATTTAAGGTAATATATCTACTGAGTAAATATGACCAGCATTTCATTTCCACTAAGAAGTATAAAAAAGCAGGAGTACGACACCACCTATCTTTCTGTACATTGGGTGACTTACTGACTGACCTCGAACCTCTGAAATTAACAACTGGGGACCGACAACTAATTCAAACGAGAAATTTAACTATTCATTTTTGATAATTGGTAAAATATTTGATAACCAAAAAAACACATCATCTAGACTCTAGATTCTAGAGTATTACTGAACCATACAGTTTAAAAAAAAAATTGCTATAACTTCAAAGCCACGCTTATAGAATCTTAAAAGATACAACGATGCTGTTTAATATTGGCGACGGCGGATARGCCTATAGGGTAATCGGAATTTTCCCAGTGGGCCCCTGTCCGTACCTAATTATGGGGCCCCCAGTCTCAATGCCGTATTTTATGTTGTAAAT